GGGACAGAGAGATGGGGAGGGGGGGAGAAAGAGGGGGGGACAGAGAGATGGGGAGGGGGGGACATAGAGATGGGGAAGGGGGAGAAAGGGGGGCAATAAAGAGATGGGGAGAAAGAGAGGGAAGAATGAGACACGGGGAGAAAGAGGGGGAATAGAGGGAGGGGGAGAAAGAGACAGAGAGGGAAGAATGAGACACGGGGAGAAAGAGGAGGAATAGAGAGTTGGGGGAGGGGGGAGAAAGAGAGGGAAGAATGCCCCCCTTCCCCTGTCCGCAGGCACCGTGCAGGCAGGGGAGGAAGAGAGGACCTGGGAGTTCACCCTGCAGCTCCTCTGGGTCCTTCTTGCGCGAGCACAGAGCGTTGCCGCGGTTACCATGGCAACGTTACTGCTCTTGCGAGAGTCAACTCTAGCCCTGGAGCTACGGGCTAGAGTTCACTCTCAACACTGTAACCCCATGGATTCCTGGTGGTCGCAGTGGTGAGAGTGAACTCTAGCCCCATAAACACACTGCCCCCACACACACACCATACACATTCACACACTGCCCCCATACACACCATACACATTTACACACATTGCCTCACACACACACATACACTGCCCACCCATATACACACAGACCCCCATACACAGCCCCCCATACTAACATTGCCACACACATACACTGCCCACACACCCTACACATTCACACACTACACCCCCACACACACACTGAACCTTTCACACACATTGCACCACTGCTCCTATTCCCTACTACAGCCTCATATCCCAGCAGACCCCAGGTAAGTTGTCAAACTGTTCTTAAACGGTTTGACTACTTACTCTGGAGCAGTAGTGGTTATTGTGCATGGATTATTTCTTTAAATAATCTACAAGTGCCCCAGTAGCCAGCCAGCCAACCCACAGGCTGGCCAGTAGCCAGCCCACAGGCCAGTAGCCAGCCCACAGGCCAGTAGCCAGCCACAGCCACAGGCTTACAGCAAGCCACAGGCTTACAGCCAGCAAGCCACAGCCTGCCAGCCGCAGTCAGCAAGCCCACAGCCTGCCGGCAGTAGCCAGCAAGCCCACAGCCTGCCAGCCGCAGCCAGCAAGCCCACAGACTGCCAGCCAGCAACAGTAATTAAGGTAAGAGGAGCCAACTTGGCTTAGGTATCAGCGAGCTATGTTGTGTTGCTATATTGTGAATAGGAACCAGAGTGTTGGAGAGACCACCCTCCAGGCCCCATTAGACTCTAGCCTCTGCTAGAAATCCCCTTCATGGCCCATTAGCCCTCAATTGTAGTTTCTACTGGGGCCTGGAGGTGACTGTTTCCAGCAGGGGATATCTAATGGACGCTGAGATGGCCTCTGTTAGAAAGACCCCCTTCCAAGCCTTTTAGACTCCATTGTAGTCTCTAATGGGGCTTGGAGGGGATTCTATCTAACACACTCTCTAAAGGACACTGAGATAGCCTCCGCTAGAAAGACCCCCCTCCATGGCCCATTAGCCCTCAATTGTAGTCTCTACTGGGGCCTCGAAGGGCTTATTGCCCTTTTGTTCCTTGTGTCTAAAGATTGTGTAGGGTGTGGCTGGAGGCGGTGCATGGAGGCGGGACAAGGGTGGCGCTTGCTGCAGAGTATGGGTGGGGCCTGTAAGGGGGCCCTTGATTTATTTTGCCCGGGGGCCCTGAGGGTTCTCAGTCCGCCCCTGTGTATGATATTCACTGTGGAGTGAATGCAGTGTGTGTGTGTTCAGTGGATGCTCTGTCTGTGTGTCATGGATGACATGGATGACGTGTCTGTGTGTCGTGGATGCTGCGTCTGTGTGTCGTAGATGCTACCTTTGTGTTGTGGATACTGCATCTGTTATTGTGTCATGGATGTAGTGTGTATTGTATGCAGCGTGTGTATTGAATATTTTGTCTGTGTGTATACTGGAGGCGGTGTGTGTAGTGGATGTTGGGTGTGTGTGATGGATGCAGTGTGTCTAGTGGATGCAGTGTCTGTGTAAGTTGCCCCCAGTTTTATTTAAAGGGTCTCAGTTGTGTCGATATAGAAAGAATCCAGCCCCACTGGAGGCGGGGAGATAGAGATAAAAAAAACTGGCACAATGGGAGACATACTGGATACACAAAATGCAGACATTACTTCCAAAAGGACTAAATGTCAATATAGACCTAGTGTGTTTTCTTGATTAAGTGTTCCCCCAATTAATTGCCTCCTATAGTGACATATATCTATTCCTATTATAGTAGAAATAATGTTTTCTCCTTTCTTTAAATAATATTCTATTGCAATAAGGTTCAGGTTGGTGATTATGAGACCCATATTTGAACCTAAGAAGCCAAACATATATGTAGGTATATTAAAATTAAAAATAAGTATTAGTTTAGTAGATATTCCAAATGGGTATACAATGTAGGATAATATCACAGGTTACTCATATTAAGTGACATAATGTCACTACTTGTGTATATTGTTTCATTTTTTTATTCTTTATTTTAGTTGTGGATTTGATTATACAGTAAAAGGTACAATAATCTGATTTTCCACTTTTTTTTTTCTTTTTAGAGAGTAAGTAAGTAAGCAAAACATGCACATGTAACAATATATCATAAATAACAAAGTTGAGGAGTTTGTGCTTAAGCTGAGCTTATGTGTTGAGGTGTAAAGGAACGTGCCTATATGGGGCCATGGTAATTATGCTCGTGAGGCATTCTCGGGGCAGGGCAGGGCAGGATAGTCCTATGAGGATC